CACGTGAAAAACCCTAGGACAGCACATAAAACAGCACAAAAAACCCTGCATTGTCACACGATGATAATGCTACAAAAGTGACGTCATAGGTAATATCAATATTTTTTATATTGTTCAAAATCAGGTTTGTAATTATGGTATTTGATGTATAATATAACAATTACAATTTTATTAAATATAGAATTGTGTTAGTAATTAGATAATTGATTGTATTATCTAGCTAAGTCGGTATTTCTTAAGTTGATCCAAACTAAAATCTTATAAATAAACTGGGTGATTAATTATCTTTACTTTTACACACAAATAGAATATCAAAATAATAGAATTACAAAGGACAACACATTTAACAATATCCGATCAGAATTACAAATACAACATCATAACTAAATACATTAATTTTAGATAGCCCTGACACGTCTTTTAGTAATGCGAAATCACACTCAGCAAAACAGTCCAATTCTGGAATAGGTCACGTTCGGTACAAAAATGTCCTTAGTTAGTTAAGACAGCGACACATCGTATGGATCAACCAATTCGTGATGGTGTCCATAAAATTTACGGAGTGTCATATTCAATCGTTCCTCCTCATAACTTTGTTGGGGCAGTTTCAGCGTAAGGAGCACACTCCTGTATATGAAGTTCGTATAGTGTGAACATGCACGAGCATAACGTATCAACTTAGATATGTAAACACCATGCGAAGAGGCAGAGGGTATGTTACTGCTGAGAAATGGGAAATTGATAATTGGGAAGTTGAAATCGTCCCGTTTGTCATAGATTTTAGTGTGAAGTCGTCCATCTGTGTCAATATTGAGAAAGATCAAGGTAGGAAGCAGTCCTTCTGGTATCAGTAGTATCCTTAATTTCAAGTTCACTTGGATATATGAGATGTAAGTTTTGGCTGAAATATGGGTTATTTCAGTGATATGACATCATCAAAATATCTGAAAGTAAAATTAATGAATTTCGCTAGGTGCTTTTTCTTTTTGTTTTTTAGAAGGTTCTGAATGAATTCTGCTTCATACGAGTACACAAAACCCTCTTTGTTCTTCCAGCAGCAATAAAATTAATTATTGTATAACATTTAAATCTTCACTGAAAAAAAAATCAAGCACCGGATAACTTGAAATATCCATATTCATTAATTTGATTTAGAATATTATTTGGTCGAAATCAACGAAATCAAACACTGAATCTAAAACCGGTGCCGTGTCAATGAAAGTATCCTAAGATATGTCCTAGGATATGTCTAAGGACCTTATTTTGGACGGTCTTAGGACGTGTCTGAGGCATGTTTTATGGTGTACAACAAAGCTATCTTACGACAGTCCTTACTATCGTTGTCCTAGGACCATCCTAAATCATTATTTTATCGATAAAAATATGTAGAGAATTAAATGACTTATATGTTATTGTATTTCAGTAAATATGCAAAGAGAGAGAGGTTGCATCGGTTATGAAAGCAAAAATATTAACGCAAAATATTTTTGTTAACTTAATACTTATATATACGTTATTGTAGGCTATAAAATATACAAATGCATTTCATACAACAACAAAAACTAAAAAGTCACAACACTTTGTTAGAGGCGATATTCGTGTTGCAATTTTATCTATATAAACTAGAGTTTTGTACTAAGGTCCACTCGATTTCAGTACATGTATTGAATCAGCCTAAGTTTCCACATGTCAAATATTATTGCACAATTTGTAAACACTGTTGCTAATGATGATAGAATTTTCAAGCTTCCAAAAGGGCAGCACGAACTATTTTTAATGAGCGTTGAAGCACTTCGTCAAATTAATCCAGAATATTTCAATATATTTATATATTAGCACCGTGTAAGTTCTATAGAACACCCCAGACAAAGTTCTTGTAATATGCTTATTTTAAAATCAAACTGAATACTAGAAACGCTTTTTGTTGGTATCTGAATTATTTGATGGATCAAATTTGTCTACAAATTTAAAATAACGAAACACAATTGAATCTTTAACATATATTGAAGAATATTTTGTTTAATTAGTATAATTCTTATAACAGTATAATAGTTTAATATTGTATAAGTATTTTAATTATCGACTTTATGTCATATTAGTTGTTTTTATTTCTACTTAGGACATCGTTACTTTTAGGACTATCCTAAGACACCTATTTATATATCCTAATTTAGGACAAATTATAATTAAGGAGACTTTCGTTAACCTGACTTAGGACTAAGACGTGTCCTAAGACCATCCTAAGACATGGCCTAAGACCACCTTAAGACAGCTTCGTTGACACTGTCCCCGGTTTTTAATTTTAACATTTGATTTCATTTGTAAGCTTTTGAAAAACCAGATTATGAAACCGTATCTTGTTTTCTTGTAATCAAATATAATTATAACATACAAAGTAACCTACAGTTGGACATGTTAGATTGGTCATGGTACAGGTTAAATAGTTTAACAACCACATTCGCGGTAATTGGTTCTTTTGTTTGTACGGGTTTCGCCAGAATTCTTTTCCCCCTTTTAAAACAATGTTTGACAGTGAACTCCAACAAGGGTTTTATAACAACAAATTCCTGATACCATTTAATTTCGTAAAAGTTAGAATTAAGTACGGACACTGAACAAGCTGATTGTATTAAATCTGTGAGGCAAGGAAACCGTAGATATATCCGCCGGCAAAAACCGATAGAGGATTAACAAGAAAGGAGCAGTGCTAACTTCCTTAGCGACTCCTGTACTTACCAAAGCTGCAATTGCACGTTTAACTTTGTGTTCAAATGCAGATCTATTGTTATTCAAAAATACACAAGGAGGTTTATCGGTAAATTTTTTAAAAAATAGCGAGATTAAAGTATAGGTATAACTAATGTTTTTAAACAATCAGCCAATAAATGTCTTCTTTCCAAAATTATAATATTATATAATTGACCTTTAACATTATAAACTTGTACTGACTCGTTCTCATACTTTTTTGTTGCTACACATACGTTAAAGTCAATCAAAGATGAAACTTTATTTGGAACTGCTGGTGTTGTTAGATTTGTTGCCCTTTTCGGGACAGTTATATGGTCGTTTTTATAAATTTTCTGTTTACAAAAATATGAATTTTTCGAAATACTAAGGATTTCTTATCCCATGCATGGATTACTTTAGCAGTATTTGGCTCAACTTTTTGGAATTTTGGGTCCTCAATGCTCTTCAACTTTGTACTTGTTTGGTTTTATAACTATTTAGATCTGAGCGTCACTGATGAGTCTTGTGTAGACGAAACGCGCGTCTGGCGTATTAAATTATAATCCTGGTACCTTTGATAACTAATTAGACGACCATTGTCCTGTTGCTCCACATTAGTATCAGATGTATACTGAAAAGATGAGTAGATGATCATTTCTGTACACTTATTAATACTGCGTGTATTGTGTCAGATGTCCTTGTTTAATTTCTACGAGAAGGTAACACCTCCCGAAACGAAAGCTGATTTTTTGATCAGGTATATGTAGAGGAGGGGATAAGGCGTCTGCGCAATGCTAGGCGGTGTTGTCGTAGAAATTTGAAGTGGAAAGTACAGATTTCAACCCCGGCCGTGGAGGAAGTAAATAATCAAATCTACTCTAATAAATTCGATGGATATATATATATATATCCTTTGCACCTTTTGTTTGCGGTATAACATCTTTTCCGCAAGTTTATTGCTTTCTGTTTAGTATTAAATTTATATTTAAGATCCATTTATTACATCGGTGATCCGTTTATTTGGCAATCGCCAATGGCAGTCAGCAGGGTTTAAGAACATTTGTTGTTCGACCTGTTAGTCAAATGCGTTTTGTTAAAATATACTTTTTCACTTTTTTGGTCTTTTGGAAAATGTTGTTTGTGCTGTATTTAGACCCCTCTAACAAGAAATTTGTTTTGCATGCACACGTATAAAAATTGCGGTTTTTATCCAACGCAATCATAGGTTTGAACGTTGTTTTCAATTTAGACTTGTTTATATTTTTTCGTTTGGGCTTGTATTATATTTGCCTTCGGGTTTATATGATCCGTTCGTCCTATTTTGACTCCTCAAAATTCAGGAGTCTATCCTAAATTGAGGTAAATTGTATGGATTTCCGAATACCGTTTCGATTCCTAACATCACTGAAGAGACATTAATTGTCGAAATCCGGATATGGTGTACAAAAACCTTTGCACCTTTTGTTTGCGGTATAACATCTTTTCCGCAAGTTTATTGTTTTCTGTTTAGTATTAAATTTATATTTAAGATCCATTTATTACATCGGTGATCCGTTTATTTGGCAATCGCCAATGGCAGTCAGCAGGGTTTAAGAACATTTGTTGTTCGACCTGTTAGTCAAATGCGTTTTGTTAAAATATACTTTTTCACTTTTTTGGTCTTTTGGAAAATGTTGTTTGTGCTGTATTTAGACCCCTCTAACAAGAAATTTGTTTTGCATGCACACGTATAAAAATTGCGGTTTTTATCCAACGCAATCATAGGTTGGAACGTTGTTTTCAATTTAGACTTGTATATATATATATATATATATATATAAATATAATTTTGCTACATAGGCAGACATATACATATATTAATTTACAGTGATTGTATGCATCTAAAATAGATTAGCATCCTGTAATTATACTGAAGAAATGAGTAAATGATAATTCCTGTACACTTAAAAGTACATTGTGTATAGTGTCAGATGTCCTTTTTTAATTCCTACTACGAGAAGGTAACACATTCCGACACGAAAGCTGATTTGTTTCAGCTATATTTAGAGTAAGAGATAAAGCGTCTGCGCAACGCTAGGTGGTGCTGTCGTAGAAGTAAGAAATAAAAAGTACAGGTTCCAGGCCTGCTTGGGGAGGAAGTTAAGAATCAGATCTACCCTACCATCTTTAGTTGATTTTCTAGGCACTTAATATGTATATTTAAACATATTTTGCAACTGATTTCCTTACATTTTGTTTAAAAACTTATGCAAATATAAGTATTTGATTTATATTATTACTTTATTATATAACAAAACAAAAATGTTGCCTTAATTTTTTTACCTTGTATTGTTTTTATCTTCATGGTTGAACTTCTCTTATTAAATCTAAATTAGAACGATTACAATTATGGCTATTTGTTCTAATTTAAAAAAAAATTTAAATGTTCAAAATTCTTATTGTTTTTTCGGAAAACAGTTTTATTTGTAAAACATCTATATGCAATTAAGTATTAATATATATAATATTTCAAATATTAGGTTAATTTCAACTGCTTTTGATTGTTAAAGACGTAAGTAAATAGAGTTTTTTAAAGGTGTTATGTGCAAAAAATGTCCATTAAGTATTTCTTCTTCTTTTATCGGATATGAGTAACCAAAAATTATGGAGATTTAATAAACACTCATATGAAAAAAAAGGCACACTGTTCAAAATATCTTGTTTAAACAATCTAATGTCGTGTCTTTGACGACCTCGGATAAGTCGAACTTTGAATCGGTTCCTCCGACTTCGGCTTATCGAATTTCGACTGTATATTATCCCATACAGCTTGTAGATTAGATCGAAGCGTGATAATGTTATCAAATTTATCTTTATAGTCATCAGTCAGCAAATCCCAAACACATCTCCATTTTTTTGTAAAGTCATCTTTATCAATTATTGCCCATGTTTTATTTGATCGTACCAGTCCTAGTTTCCAGCGAGAAATTCCGTCCACTTCTGGTGGTCCCCCTATCTTGGTAAGAATTTTATCAACTTTATAATCCTCGTGTTTTTTATACTTTCCTTCAGAGCTATCATTGGAATCCTCATACGCAACTGATGCGGAGGCGGAACAACTCCAAAGCATTGCTGACAAAGAACCTTGTACACTTTTGTTGACTAATTTTAGAGTAACCGTTTGATCCATCGATTCTTTACTGCGACATTGTACCGACCTTTCCAAAATCCCGCCAAACTTGTAGGTACCAGCATAATAATGAGAACCAAAATTGTCAAAAAAGGGTATGTATCGGTCTGTTTCTTTATTCTTTTTTTCCAGAATCTGTAATTCTTCAATAGCTTCATCAGATATAGAGTGTTTGACATCTTGTAGAGAAAATGAAGCTACTTTAACGACTACCACTTCTTTGACTTCGGTAAAGGCATTCAAAGTATTATTTGTTTTCTTTATATTAGATGTATTGTTATATCGACCATCTATACTAACGGAAGCAATTTTCACCGTTCCTGTTTCTAACGAAGCTGCTGCACTTATACCCCAATGTTTGATAACGTGGTCAAAAGTCTGTGATTGGTCTTGGTTGAAAAATTCGAATGACGTATATTTTTCTGATGTTGATGGGAGCATCAAGGATATAGGATCCTGGTGAATAGTGATTAGCTTTCTTCTAGGCATTACACAGATTTTCATATTAGGATCAAGTAAGGAACCACGTAAAATTTTTCCAGATGATACTTGTCTAACAAAATCCAACTCGTTCAGCTCTTTTCTTTCAGCTAATTCATTGCCCATAGTGTTCCAGTTGGCTAGACCTTTGTGCAGTTCCTTGTGACTCAGAGCTTCATTAAATCTTGTGTCAAATCTGCTCATTCTCTCCTTTTCATCAATTCTGTCTTTCAATTTGGCCATTTTGTCTTGGACGCTTTTAATGTTTTTTTCGAAGTTTTTTTTATTGTCAGCAGGACTACTTTCGACTTCCTTTACTTTAAAGCATTCGGCTAACGCCCTTTTCTCCCAATCGTTTCTACTTTTACCTTGGAGGTCATGTATGTTTTTTTCACTTGCATATTTGAGTTGTACACATTTTGTGACTCCTATTTTACCTAACTGTTCATTCCAGAAATCGCCATCTAATCCGTATTCATTCAATTTATTTTTTAAACTGTCTTCATCATGTTCAACTTTGTTCGTCTTGTTCTTTGCCGATGCTGTCTTGATATCATCTCCGGTCTCCATTGTAACACGGGTGGGTTTTTATTCAAAACTGCATCTAGAAAACAATTAAATGTAGGTAATATAATGATATTAATACTATTCAAGGTATGACTTTTTGGCCTCAATTCATTACCCGGAATAAAGTTAGACACTATTATTCAAAGTGCTTTATTCACTTACTCATATTTTTTCTTCTAATAATTAAAATACAAATTATTGCGATATTACTGTGAACATTTGACGTATGTTCATTTTCTTGTTGTTGAAAAAGATGTTCCTCAACGACGTCATTATTGATGTATTTAAGACGTCATACATTTAGATGAATTTTGTTTACAATTTTTTGGTATCATTTGGCAAACGCAATGACGTTTTTTTTTTAATAATTAACAGTGGCGCCACCTATCTACACTTATGTTTACTGAAATTTTCTTTATACACCATTATATCATATTTGCAACCAACATTGCAGTGGTGCCACATATGAAAGTATGAAAAAGAAGAAAAAACTGACAATTTCTAGAAAAATGGACTCAATTGAAATGCTAGACTACTATATTTATAAATATGAATACTTCAAAAATAATCAATATAGCAAGACAGACACATTTTCCCAAAATTGAAATTTAAGAAATACATCTTTAATGGACCTTGTTTTCTTTTATTCCTGACACTATTCCTTTACAACTAGACCGGTCAATGTTTAAATAAGACGTGTTTCTTTGAGTTCTCCGTCTAGTACATAGACAAAATACACGTCAAATCCAAAATCAGTCTTATTGGCAATCATACCACATCATCTTATATTTATAAATCCTATTAATCGTGTTCATGACCTGATGAAAACATTGTATCATGTTCACTTGTGAAGTCAAATCTAGACAAATGAAAATTCGTCAAAATTTTTACTGCACTCAACATACTCAAGTTAACTAGTCACCAGGTACTTTGTTAATATGCAGTTCCAAATCAAGACAGGTTAGATCTGATGAAAGCGATGATAGGTTGACATCTAAATCTACCAAACATTTTATTGATATCATCTTCGGTATTAATTATTGGAATAAGTGTTCTTATTAACTTAACCAGCCATTTTGACTGGTCAACAAAGTTAACCTGCAAAAGGTTTAATTATTGGGTCGATTGAATCAGTCTTGTCATGAAGTTTAATTTTGCTGGTCTGCTTCGCATTTATATAAAAATGGTATGATTGCAAATGAGACAAATATCCACCAAAATACAAATAAGTGGATGTAAGCAATTATAAACAACCGTGCAAAAAACAATACTGTATAGTCGGCTATAAAAGACCTCGACATGAATGAAACAATTCAATTGCAAAAACTAACGGCCTAATTTATAACGAAACAATTTACGAAAAACAAATAATACAGATGTGAATCAACGACAACCCGTGGAGTACTGGCTGCTGGAACAGGCACTTAAAGAATGTGGCGGGGTTGAACATGTTTGTGAGCGCTCAAACATCACCCAATCTGGGACAATGGTGAACCAGCATAACATGAGAACAAACTATAAAAATCAGTTGAAAAAAAATTAACTCGTCAGATCGATGCAAACAAAGAAAAAGAAACAGCATGAAACAAAACAACAGACAGAGCGCGGCAGGACATATATCTATCCCTTATCCAATTCATTAAAAAAAGGCACTAAGTACATATATTAACCCATTCGGCACGCAACGTTATTTCAACATTGAAATGTTGTTGACATTTTGTCATGACGTTGCTTCAACGTTATTTCAACGTTGTTACAGCAACGTCGAAGTTATATTTCAGAAATTAAGTTGAAGTTAGATTGAAATATATATGCTGTTTCAACGTTTAATGTTGATTGACATGTCGAATATGGAGGTTCGTTGAGAAAAAAGATTATATGCATTGATGTAAAAATTATTCACCATCAGTATAAAAGAGGAATCATTTTGGTTGTATATCGTTTAATATTGCATCAACAAAAGTTTATAAATAAGGATTTTGCTATCGAAAATTGTGATCAATGTCGCCTTTTATTATTTTTTTTGTACCATATCTAGTAAAATCAAGAATATTCCAAAGAAAGAGAATCTAAAACCGACGTATAACCCGGAAGTTTGTCAAGATCATGATAGTATACAAAAATATAAATTATCCTTCATTGACATCTACAAAGGTGATACCCAAGGATTAGCACTTCCAAAAATCTATTGATAGAATTATCACGTGACATCATGCTGATTAATATATGACTGCACGCGTGTGACCGCATTTTTCAACGCGGCAGCGATCATCAAGTGTGATACAAACACAAGTGATAGTATAATTTTCCTGAAAAATATTTAGGACCGTTTTCATCAAAGAAAAATTCACAGAAATGTAAGTGTTTCTTTTAATCATCATCCGTTGCTGTATTAATTGTTTTTTAATACTTGTGTGATGTTAACCATGGGAGACTATATAATGCACAAACGTGTAATATTTTGAAAATCTCTCCAAATTGCATTTTGCAGAGATACCATTACAGTGTATCCATCGTCCTTTTTGTTGTATATTCCAATATGATCGCACATCTATATAAATCGAGATATAAATATGTACTACAATTGGAAACGGTATTCTCAGCTTACATGAAGTTTATTTTTGTTCTTTATTGCTGATTTTTTAAAGAAAGGGAAATTTTGCGAAGTAGGATTATTATCTCTCCTTGTTATCTAAAATTTTAAACCGTCATCCATAATCACATTATTATAATTATTGTCAACTATGCTCTGAAATTTTTTTAGATTTTTTTATTCATCAATAGAGTTTTAAAATATAAAATGTCGCATGGCGATGATGATCGATGTTATTCTTATTATTTATACAGGTATTATGGACAGAAAAGTAAGAGTTGTAAGAAAATTTGATTATGAGAAAAATTAAAAGAAAAGATATAAGGAAAGAGGTTATAGCTGTCAAGGTATGTTTTTTAAAAAAAATTTTTTTAACATTTTTTAACAGTATGTATGTCAGATTGCAGATACGGTTTGTGAGGATACCGTATGCACTTTGAAATTTATGTTGATTTATATGTTCTGTATGGGCCCCATTTAATAGGAATTTGATTAGTATTAGTATTTTTAAAATGTGTATCAAATTTAAAACATAAACAGCAATCAATATGACGAGTGGCATTGTTACAATAGATCCTGGTGCTCGAGATGGGTGGCATTTTACAATAGAACCTGGTGCTCGAGATGGGTGGCATTGTTAAAATAGATCCTGGTTTTCCAAAAAAGGTGGCATTGTTACAATAGATCCTGGTGCTCGAAATAGGTGGCATTGCTTTAAGTACATGAGCAAAAAAAAAGGTCAAAACGGATGCGCGTTTATGTAAATAACTATCAAAGGTACTAGGCTTATAATTTGATACGTCAAAAGTGCGTTTCGTCTTCATAAGACTCATCAGTGATGCTCAGATCAAAATAGTTAGGAAGTAAAACAAGTATAAAGTTGAAGAGCCTTGAGGACCCACAATTCCAAAAAGTTGTGCCAGATACGGCTAAGGTAATCTATACCTGGGATAAAAAAATCCTTAGTATTTCGAATAATTCATACTTTTGCAAACAGTTGATATATAAAAATTACCATATAATTGATATTCATGTCAACATCTAAGTGCTGACTACTAGGCTGGTGATACCCTCGGGAACAAAACGTCTTCCAGCAGTGGCGTCGATCCAGTAATGTAAATAGTTATCAAAGGTATCATGCTTCGTTTCGTCTTCTTAAGACTCTTCAGTGACGCTCATGTAAACCAGTAAGTTCATAAAAAAACTGGCCTTATATAACATTTTATTCCCTGCCTTTACGTTCTACGGAATTGTTAACTTATGTTTACAAAATTTATTTGTGTTTTTATTTAGGAAGAGTAATGGTTGGAGGAGTTTGGAGACTACAATTCATTTTCACGAAAATATTAAAAATGAATTGAGAGTTTATTTGTATTCATTTACCAGATTACCATATGGCTATTTGAGCTTTTGTCATAACTTGACATCTGTTGTACTGTTTTTTTTAAAGATCAAATCTTGCTGGCGTCCTCTGTATAGTCTTGTGGCTTCAATATCTGTGTGTGGTTACTTAGTATTATGGATATAAGGAGATGTGGTACGATTACCATTTTGACAATTATCCACCATAGTCCAATTGACGTGGAGGTCACTAAACGACCTTCAACAATAAGCAAACAGCACACCGTATAGTCAAAAGACCTGGACACAGTTTGTTTTGAAACAATTCAAACGAGAAAAAACAACCGCCTAAATTTGTAATTACAGACAAATATGAAAGATGAACCAACAACAAGAAATGGATTGCTTATTACAACATGAAACAATGTTGTTGCAATGATGGGGTGACAATGTTTCAATGTTAAGTTTCAACCTATTTTCAATCAAAAATCTTCGTCGATACAATGTTAAAAATATAAAGTTGAGTTAACGTCTGATATTCAACGTTGTTCTAACCTTTCAAAACTAAAATCTTTTCAACGTTACAGATCAACGTTCATTCAACGTTGTTTCAGCGTTGAAATGTTGCAACTTATAAAAATAAAGTTAAACTATGATCAGGACCGCTTTGCATCGATTGATAAATATTCTAAAATGTCCTTGTTTCTGAAAATACAAAAATGCAGTCTGAAACAGAAACGATACTGTTAAATCGTTAACACAAATTAGGTACATTGTGTATTTTTATTATGATCAAATCCGTCAGGTCATTCATATTCTATATAAAAGGTTTTGATCCGTTTTGTAAAATTGCAGTCTGTGTAGATTAATTATGTTAAAAGCTGAGATATAACAGCATATATAAATATGTATGGCCACATGTATACTTAAAATAGAAATATACATATGGTATGATGGCATTTTGAATTTGGTAAGTTTAAAAACATACTAAATGACAGCAAAATTGGTATACAGTTAAAACATGTAAAATATATGGTCGAATATAATTCCGATCGAGTGACAACATCTCTGCTTTTTATTCAAAAGAGGGAACCGTCACTAAC